AGCAACCAAGTAGCCCCACTTACAGCTCAAGCCTCAGAGACGGGTTCTTGAAAATCTGCAGGACTGCAGTTTATGGCTCCTTGTTTAATGCATATGAAGGATGATCAAAGGAGCATAAGAAGTGGCTGTACAAATAACAAAACAAAAGAATAAAACCAACGATCTCCATATAACTGATAAATGGCACTGGTAAAAGGAGGAGACCTGAATGAAGCAAAGGAAAACTTTGGTTTTGATCTTCCTTGGGCAGGGAAGTTGGGCCAGACGACCCACAGTGGTCCTTTGCAACCTGATTAATTCTGTGATTCTGTGAAAACCAGAAGCAGGTATAGGAAGTGACACAAGATGTGCAAAGATCTAGGACTGAAAAAAGGTAAGCAGAGACTAGAAGAGGGTGTTCTGAAATTCAATCTAATGAGGCACAGCCATGAAACACAAAAGCCTGCAGTTACTATTTTATTACAGCTGTACTGCAGGCATGAAAGAAGTATAATTCAACAGTCTGCCAACAGCACAGACCCATCTTGACACAGAAAAGAACTGCACACAGATTGCACAGAGTGGAGAAATTACCAGCTTGATCTTAAAAGATAAACAAAATATGGGTCAATGAAATTTCTTATCACCATTAAAGAGTGGTGAACAAAAAACACATCAATAAATGAAAAAGATGAGATTGCCTCTCCCACCGTCTCTGCAGAGCTCTTTGCTCCAAATCTCTGCTCAGCCACTGCTCTCCCAGTTACCAGCTTGTTGCACATCTTGCTCCAAGTTTAAATTTTTTCTATTCTGTGTTATGTAAGGGAAGGTATGCAGGAACTACAGGGCACAACTGCAGCCATAAAGGTACTGGGTATCTCATCCCTGCCTTAGCCTGACCCTAAAACACAGATATGCAACTTCCAAACCTCCAAACCCAAGTAAGGTAAGGGTGTTTCTCAGTTCACTGCTACCTCTTTAAAAACCACAGGGCTACTTAGATAACCTTACAGAAACATATTAACTAACTAACCAACCCAAACCACAAGCAGCCGGACGATTTTGAGATCACCTACTTACAAATCAGTCAGAGGACAGACTAACTCCTATAATCTTTGTCATAAGTTTTGCATGAACCAGCACACTTTGAGTGTCAATTCAAAATTTTAACTAGGTCTAAATATTTTAAGTAATTCCATTTGTATCAAATTAGGTCCTTTAACAAGGTAAATGAGTATCTTAAGTTCATGCTTAGAAATTCCCCTAGAAGAGTTTAATATTATAAGCACTCTGGGGGCAGATAAACAGGGAGGCATCAAGGAATAAAAGACTTCTATAAAAAAAATAGTAGTAGAACAGAAAGTAAAGAAAACATTTTAAAAAAAAATCTCAAAAATAAAGCATTTAAAAGAATAAGTTTTTGCTAGCTTTCTTACCTTTTATACCAAAATTACAATGAAGAAAAGTCTCAAGTTGTATTTTGGATACAAGTTTCAGTTATCTGAATGTGCTACTGCAGTCTTGTTATCACACATCACTCAAACTGAACTTCCTTCAGTACACTCACAATATTCAAATTTACTTACCCTTCACACCAGATTCTGTCACAAAAGTCTCCCTGCTGCCTGTGAACAAAATTCAATCTCTGATGTTTTGAAATAGGATCTGTCTCAATCTTGCCAAGACTGAATTGCTATTGATTGTTAAAAACCAGCGGTGGGGGCGGTTCCCCTCATTGAAACTGAGCGAGGTCAAGTTTTTGAGAGTTGAAGTCGGCCACAGGCTCTGGAGTCCCACCTTCCTCAAGTCTCAGCAAAGCCCTCAGCAGCAGCCCTTTGTTTTTACAGCTCTGACAAATATCTCCAATTCTGTATGCCATGTACGAAGCCTTACCCTTATGCCTAAGAAAAGCATACTTTGATTTTTAATGCTATTTTTTTCTGCTGTCAGCAAACCATCTTCCCCTTAGATTCTGTAAGTGGTAGATGAATTTATTGTATTATTTAAATACCTAGTATTAATGTAAGACAAAATTGTTAATTTGTCACACCTAATTAAGTAACTCCTTCTTAACTGGTCTGATTTTCAGAAATGTTTCCTTGCATTTGCAAGCCAAGAAGGGATACCCAAAAAGAAGAAAACCATGTGCATCATGCACCACATGTTTCTATTCTATCAGACTTAAAGCAGACTTTTCAATTTCCCTTTTGGTAGACTTGCTATATAAAACCATGGAAACAAGTTCTAATTCTATTAAAATCCAGGCTGAATTTAAGACTTTTTAGTCTATTTATTTATCCTAAGAAAATTCTTTGATGGAATTTCATTTTGAAATTATGCCTGAATTAAAACTAAATGGTTTACAAGAAAGCCATTCTCAACACTTAATGCTATTCATCACCAAGGCTTTTCTTTCTTTTTCTTTTTTTCATCAGATATAGGAAAATCAGAATTTTCAAAAGCAACTGTCAAAAATACGTTTTATTTCTCTCTGTAGTTCTGCTCAGGCCCAGGTGTTTTTCAGTGGGAACTTCTATTGTAGTAAGAGATTTTAACCAAATGCCAGACTTAATAATGAAGTCAGAGAAAAGCAACTAAAAGCAAATCTTTCTCATGTATAAGACAGTTTCTTTTCTGACAGATGGTAGAAATAGCACTACAGGAAATACAGATGAGAGAATAATGGCTGATAGCAACAAAATGTATAATCTAATACTATCTTCCCATTTGCTTTGACACTGTTTACTGTACTGTCTACTACTGACTGCTACTTTCTGTCATACCAGAAGCATAGGCAGGAAATGAGCTGCATCAAAATAGCAACCACAGCAATACTTTAAACGAAGGATCATCCCAGTTACTTATCACTTCCCATTCTTGCCATTCAAAATAAGTTGCTGAGCCCTACTGCATGCTACCACCACTTGGAAGTGAGGGACAGGAAAAATGGTAAATACAGGATTTGCATGAACAATGCATTTATTGTAAATTTGCTATTATAACCGCAAAGGCTTTAATTAGACTCTCACAGAAATCAGAACTGGACCCTGATTATCTCTGTGGGTAGGAAAATATACATGCCTGCCAAACCAGGGAATATGTATTCGCAAGTAGATATATTTATTTTTATTCTTGTAATTTTGCAGTTTCACATTGGCCACTCTGCGTTGTTTTACTGATGTCTGGTTGTCTGCCCAGTATAAGCTGGTTAATGCTGATAAGCAGACAGAAAGTAATGAGAATCTTGATGCCATTTAATTATACAAAAATGCATGGTATGTTTAAGTCTTGAGGGGGTTGAAGAACAAAACACAAGGAGTTACTGCACTTTGTAATCAAAGTTTTCCTCCATTCTTTAAGAAGTATTGGGTTGAAGAATTCAAAGTTATCCACACGTTAAGTTTTGTCACATCTGAAAGGTGCTAAGGTATCTAGCACAGTCCAGAAAGCAACAGCCTTGCAGGAATAAAATGCCTATGATGCACAATTATTCAACTATCACATAGCTTGTGCTTTATGTCCATTTCTAGTCACCACCTACTTCAGAACTGGGATTGGGAAAACAAGTAAAATTTGGGATTATTTTCAAAAGCAGAACAGATTACACTAAATCCTAATGCAACGTGCAAGTAGCCGCAAGAGGCTGGGCAGCCGCTGGCTATACACAGGGAATATGGCACCACCCAGTGGGAAGAGCACCACATGAAACATCTGCACTAAAAGAGCCATGAAGAAATGTAACTCTTCAGGGTTCACTGGGGGTTTTTTGTTGGGCTTCGTTTTGTTTCTTTCTTCTAATAATGGAATTGCTTTTGGAGGAAAAAAAAAGAAAAGAAACCATGGATCTCAGTTACAGAAACATTGTATCCAACTGTACTTCCTAGAATGGCCTCAAAAGAATTTTTATTTTGCATATCCTGCTAAGGCTTAGCCCCAAGCATTTTTCATTCTGTTACAATCTCTCCATTACAAATGACAACTAGATCTTACCTTCTCATACAGCCTTAGAAGAATCCCCTCCTTTTAATTAAGAAGTTACACCTTTTTTATTCAAAGAGCTGAGGCCAAAAGTCAGATTGCTTTAAGTTTCAACACACTTTAAAAATGAAATTTTAATGTGCTTAATTATCACCAATGTTTTCAATCAATCAGGTGTTCAACCATTGAAACATATTATTAGAATTTACTTCTGATATTTTCACTGATTGTATTACAATTATGTGAAAACCTTTATTACTCCATAAATTTACTGATCTTTTGGTTTATTACAAACAGGCTCACAGGAGGGTGAACTGAAAATGTTGCAAGGCCAACATACCACAGGCTGAACAATGTAATTGTTTCCAAAATGCACTGTATTGTATCATTCGTTTTGTTTTGCAAACAAGACACCTCCTTTTCTCTCCTTCTCCCAAAACTAGAGATGGGGGTTTTTTGGAAGGATTAAGGCTCTGCTCACCTGAACAAATTACTAGAATATAGGCTGACCCTGCTTTGGAGCTTTCACTGGTCATACTGTATCTGGCAAGCTTCGAGCAAGCTCCTTCTACACCAAATTAAGAGCTACATGAAAATCACAGAATAGCAGAATGGTTTGGGCTGGAAGTAGCCTTCAAGAGCATCCAGTTCCAAGCTTCCCACCTCTTCCCCAGGCAGAGACAAGTTTCAGTAGACCAGGTTGCTCAAGGCCCCATCCAACCTGGCCTTCAACCCTTCAAGGAAGGGGCATCCACAGCGTCTCTGGGAAACAAAGGATCAATACTACAACACAAGCTTTTGTAGGTACTACAAGCTTATGTAGGTTTTGTATAAAATTTATTTTTCCCCTTCCCAAAAATACATCATATCAGCTGACTGTATTCCATCATCTCCAAATACAGTTTGGGGCATACCTCCAGTAAATTCCCTGTCCTTTTATGCAGCATGTTTCTTGATTAGCACCTACAGTTTATTTAGATGAAAGTAAGGGCATAAAGGTACAGATGAGTGTTTCATCATAAACTCACAAAAACAAACTCAAGTGTAAGTTTCATCTTGTATTTATTTAGTTTTGACAGTATGCACAAATACTTTTAGTTTCCAAGCTGAGAGATGTGAAGTCCAGTTCTGAAGAATCAACATCAGAAACAAAGTACACAGACAGACACAGGTGCAGCTGGGAGTAAAAAAGGTACATACATTAATTTAGGCTTTTTTCTAAACCTATTCCCAGATTCTAAAGCTCAGCACAACCAACCTGTTTCCATAGATACCTCAGCATATCACAAACCCTCCTGGATAGGAGGCTTCAGCTTTCACAGTAGGTAAGCAAGTACCAACCCTGAAGAAACCCCACACAGCTCATGTGACCTGAGCCAGAAACACTCAATGGCTTTAAGTGACAGGTCCTGGGTGCAGACCAGCAACATCTCCCTGGGACAGCAGGGTCAAGTCTCTGATCCTTCAGGGGCACAGGGGAGTCTCATCTCCCACTTCATCCTCCTAGGGAGGGGGATTGTTCCCTCAAGGCACATGCAGCAAGCCAGCAAATCCTGCACAGGCCAAGCCTTGCCTGAAAGCTTCCTACCAAAAGCCACAGAGCACTGGTCTGTGACTTTGACTCCTCTAGCCCACAGAAATAACTACCCCCACTTTTCTTTTTCAGTCTTCTCACTGTATTGGAATGGCTGCAATTTGTACTCAAAATACATGATACAGTAGGTATCATACTATCATAAAAACAATATGCACTGCCAGTGGAATTCTCACACATATACATGTCTTAAGAAAAAAGCTGAAGTAATTTTCTTAAATACAGCACATGATTTCAACATCCCATATATGTAAACATCTGACATCCATAACTAGACTGATATCCATGGACTACAGTTTCTCTGGTTACAGATGGATGCCTCAACTCATAAACTTAGAGCAAGTATCATTCTGCACTTTCCTCTATCCCTCATAAACATGTCTTCAAAATTGCAGATGTTCTGCAAGTGCTAAGTGTTTCCCAAAGCCCATTTTAATTCTAAACATGCAGAATACTAAAGAGACAATGCACAGCATTTGTTTAGCACAAAAAAACCCTGTTCTTTTCTTTGAGAAGGGAGTTGTCTTTTCAAGTTGTGATTTTTACAATAATAAACAGATGACAGCCAAACTGTCATTGATCAACAGTTATAAAAAACCAAAAAAAAGAAAAAACATTGAAACAAATTAGATTAAAAAGAACTGCAAGATTGCTTAGTTATTGGATAAGAAAACATCCTTAGGCTCTCTTCATGTAATACATGATGAACAATAAATTTAAAGGTTTAAGCAAATTTGTGCCTTCCTGTAAATATCAACTGAGGAAAAAATTGTTGATATGAATGACTAATTAAAAAATTCTTCTGCATTTAGATGATATGCCCACTTACTTTCTATCATTCCTGCAAGGCTGAAACTGAGCTCAAACTCCTGAGCATTCACAATGACAAGAACAAAATGCCAGCCAGGTTAATCCTAAAACTGCAAATCTGCTAAAACACAGTATGTTTACTACTCTGACTACATTTCCTAAACGTGCTCCCTAGAACAGACAGTAATTTGAGCTACCACTACTCCCAAACCAGAGAATAACCATCAACCTTACAAGTGCTGACTCTCTGTAGTTATTCTCCATTATTTCTATAAAATTCTAATTATTTCTAATTCTACTATTGTTTCTATAATTGCATGGTGGGGACTGCTTTATATACCAGTATCATTGTCATATTATGTACAACTTGGCACCTTCAAAGAGACCCAATTCTGCTTCCTTGGACAGATGTAAAGATTTTTATTCCATAAATTCACTTTTCCTGCAATTCTGGAAAAGAAAAACATGGTTAAAACAGGCAGAATATACTATTTGTTTTTAGCTGCTAAACAAAACTATTACTATTGTATGATGTACATAGTCCTTTATGATGTAAACTTCTGTGAATGTAGCATTAACACAAAGTCTTTTCTTAGCATAAAGAAGAACAAACAAATGCAACAGTTATGACAACATGCATGTTTTAGTCTACATGACAGAAAGGCAGTTCAAAAGTGTGGTATGTATTCTTAAAACGGGTGAAGAGCAACTGCTCTACAACGTGTTATTTTGGTACATGGATTATTATGCTATGAGTTAAAAAATGCCCTCACAAATTACCAAGCAAGCTGTCTTCCTTTCACTAGGTCAGATCATTCCTCAGGAGGTATATTTAGAGTTTTATTTGACTCAACAGACGATTGTCTGAGTGTTTTCTTGTATTTAAGATACTTCAATGTACTAGAACAGCACATGGAAACTGACTAATTATTCAACATTTGAAAACACACAGCAGGAGGAAACCACGCTGGAAGTACTACTGAAATAGGAAGAAGACTGGAAAAGCTGTAATTGAACTTCTCCCTGTGTTTTTCTTTAAGAAATCACACTAGTAAAATTTATGAGCCTGAAAACGCCATCATGACATTTCACCCTAGCGAAATAAAATAACCCACAGCATAGTGCATACTAGGAGATCCAAATTTCTTTACTTCTGGGGAAAGAAAAAAAAAACCAACAAACAAACAAAAAAAATCAAAACATCATGACAACGGATGCCTAAAGTAAGGGGAGGAAAATGAAACTCTTTCAAATTACTTTTACCAACCTAGAATGGCAGCCTCCTTCTGCATTCACCCGCCTCCATCACACGGTTAAAAACCATTTTTGTTTGCGAGAACCCGCGTCACGCCACGGCAGCCTGGGCGGCTCTACCTGCAAGCACAGCTCCGGCCACCGCCGTGCCGGAGCATCGGCACTTTGGGCTCAGGCACGGCCCGGCCGGGACAGCCCCCGGCGGCGCCAGGGGCGGGCAGGAGCCAGAGCCAGAGCCAGAGCCAACCCTCGGGAGAGCCTCGCACCGCCCCTCCGGGCAGGCCGGCACGTCCTTGCGGCCGGGCATGCGAGGGACGGCGCGGGGTCCCCTCCGTTACCTTCCCAGAGGAAGTGGCCGCCCTCCCGCCGCAGGAACTTGTACCAGAAGGGGCTGGCGGCGTCCTCGTCCGGCAGCGCCACCTCCGCCAGCCACAGAGCGGGCTCCTGGGCGGGCAGCGGGGCGCTCGGCCGCGCCCGCCTCATGGGCACGGCGCGCCGCGGGTCCCACTCGCCCAGCTCCGGCCGCGACCCGGCCACCAGCAGCTCCGCGCCGCCCTCCGTCACCCGGGCGGGCAGCACCACGCCGAAGCGGAACAGCATTTTACTGCCGCACAAAGAACGGGCTTTATAGAGGAGCTCTGCTATCGCTGCGGCACGGCCCGCAGCACAGCGGCCGCTGGGAGGCCGCCCGGGCCCGCCCTTCCGCCGGGGCTGGGGGCCGGACACCGGCCCTGCCCCTGCCACCGCCCCTGCCCCGGACACCGGCCCTGCCCCTGCCCCGGGCCCTGCCCCGGACACCGGCCCGGGGCCGGACACCGCCCTTGCCTCGAACACCGGCTCTGCCCTGGACACTGCCCCGGACACCGCCCCTGCCTCGAACACCGGCCCTGCCCCTGTCCCTGCCCCGGACACCGGCCCTGCCCCTTGCGGGTCCCGAGCGGCGGCTCCGTGGTCGGGGCTGTTCTCGGTGCGGTTCTTCCCAGCGCTCGGCTGCCGCCCGCACGTAGCCGAGGGAGCTTCCCCTCCGAAAGTAGCGGCTGGGAGTTCCAACAACGCCGACCCTCGATCGCCTCCTAAAGCGGGGAGGGAAAATCCTCTCCGCAGCTAAACGCTGGCTCTCCTGGTTGCCAAAGGCTACGCTTCACGTATGGTGACTTTAACAAGGATTATTGCTGCGTTAAAGGAAGCCATTGCAATTACTCCCAAGAGCCCAGGCTTAATTTAGCGCAGCAAAAACATCATTGAAAATTGCCATATTTGCAGCTACAAACAAGGACTGGCTGCAAATAAAGCTTTAGTGTTCATGATGTTTATGTCTTCCCCGCTGACAGCCAGCCAGTCGTGGTGAGAAAAGAAATGTGAAATGCTGAGGGGGGTTAGAAAGCTTTTAAAAGAAATCTGGAGTTCGCTGAACGCGTTCTGTTTACAGCCAGAAGGGGAAAATTTGGCAACTCCTACGTGTAGCAATACTCAGGACTTAAAAAGACTGAGGAAGAGGATGCAATCCAACCATTTAATGGGCGGTCCCCGCTTGAATACACCCATTTCAGAAGCTTTTAAGGACAGAAACAGAGTGGTAACTTTATTTAGGTCAAGTTCTGGGAACAGGATGAAGACCTTTCAATGAGTCAAAAGAAATCCTGCCTCAATCCTGCCTGTTTGTTTCCTTTATTCAGGGGTGATGACCCTGAAGTGTATGTGCTGCCAAATTTATTTTTAAGAGTGCTTTAGCCAATTTTCACTGATACTCACTGAATTTGGGTGATATTCTACCAGAATATCTTTTCCAGACATAACCAAAGCAAATGAAATTCTCACTGTCCTTCATTTCTGCTGGCTTTACTGTAGCACTGCTGCTTTTGTGGAACAGTGCAGTACATTTTAATTTTTTTTCTCAACCTTACAGTCAAGCTACCCATACCCTGTCTCATAACTGTCTTTCAAATATCTATCTCTTTACCATACACCTTCATTTTAACATTATAGATGAGACAGAATATAACAACTTTGGAGTTTTATCCTAAAGCTCAAGCATGACAGGAGTCCTCAAACCACCCCAGCATATTCTGTCTGCATAAAACCATATGCTTCTGCTCATTCCAGTCACAGTCTCAGCTTAAAAACTGCAGGATCCAATAGGACATCTGACTGGCAGTTTAGTTCCTGGCTGTTGTCTAAGTCCAAGCGTAAAGAAACCAGCAATATCCATCTTTGGACAAATTTGAACTGCTTGATGCCTGTAAATATTGAGTCCTCATCTTAGACCCATAAGCCTTGTGGAACAATAAAAAATTGTTCTGTAGACTCTGATGTGCCAAGTAGTATCTTTAAAAATAATTCAGTCCATTTCTTCTCCAGGATCAGCCTTAATCTATTTTGTGCCACTCAATATTGTGTGCTAGATTAAGGTTAAAGATGACAGAAAGTGGCCAGCTTGATTTCCTGTGATTTCCTCAAAAGCCCTAGTGCAGATTAGGGCTAGGTTGAGAGATCAACAGGAAGGGCTGAAAACCTGCATCTACTGATGGATCCTGCAAGACTAAGATAAAAACAGAAATGTAGACTGGCTTAGGATGTCCCATGGCTGGGTATAGCGGGAACACAAGAGCAGTTTATATTGGTGAAATTGCAGGCTGAATGGGGGCTGTGGACAGGATAAAATTTATAAGCATTAGATCTGAGACCGAGGAGCTAAAGGTACTGTAAGGTTTGTTTTTAAGGTCAATAAACAAAGGCAAATATATGTTTTTTTCCCCCTGTTAGATTTGCATAGTCTATGATTTGTCATCTTCTAAACTGGAATTTCAGCTGGAGTAAAGGCAGGAAAGGTGGGGAGGAGTTCCATTTACTGTTAGTGTTTGGGATTGAAGGAGTTGATGAAGTACTTCCACAGCTGAGCCATTGCCATAACCCTAAATTTAGTTTTAAGTGTCACCCTAAGCCTCTTAAGGAATTAACAATAGTTTCCTTTGCCAAAATGACCTGTTATTCTAGTCCTGCCTGGCCAGTGCTCTTCCCCTACAGTCCTCAACACTATTCTGAAACCTAAAAGCTTTCTCTATAATCCAGTCATCTTTTACAACCACAAATTAAACATGACTATTTCCTTTTTTTTTTCCCCACTATAGTAAGTCCTCATTCCAACTTGGCAAGCCTTACAGTTCCCATTAAAAAGCTTTGGCTACAAGGGGCAAAACACTAATAGTCAAGTTGTTTTTAACTGTCACAAAAACTACTGTCAATTGTTGATTCCTGTGGGAACAAACTCCCATCTTAGTGGTCTGTCTGCATTGTAATAATAAATGCTGTGCATCTGTGCCCCTCACAGCTGTTTAGGATCTCTCAGTATACTTAGAGCAGCTACTTGCTGAGTGGAAGCCTCGACTGACCTCAAATCGAACAGTGAACTAGCAACACAGTGAGGCTTAGTGCCAAGTTTATTTTAAAGCCTTCAGTTTATTGTTTCTGCTACCATCCCAGGCATTTGCTAAAGCTGTTTCTAACTGGCAAAAAGGGAAGAATTGTATGAAAAAAAAAAGCCAGCTTATTTTTACACAGCATTAGTGTGCAAGAAGGGACTCGAGAGATCACAGTTTCTGCAAGAATCAGTTGCTTCGTGGATTTCACCTAAATTGTACCAATACCTAGTAGCCTTATGTAATTTCTAGCTAATTAGCTGGTTTATTATCCAAAATTTGTGCAGGTGGTGGGGATCTCACAGGAGAACTCACTGAGGCTATGTACCAACTTAACATCAACCAACCATTAGTTATTCATTCAGGTTTCTGCCTAATGGCTGTATCTGAAAGGATTCTAGGGAAAAGTCTGCATGTCCAGAAATTGGAGCTGTGACTTTATTTGCAGACATGTAAAACACATTTAAAGGCATTTTCACTTGCTGTGCACTAAAATTTTGCAGAATCACAGTTCTAACATTCTGCAGAATTCTAATTTCTTACAGTGTCTCTTTCAGGGATAAAATTGTCCTGGTATTTTTGTGAACCCAAGAGTTTTAAACTTGTTTGTTCCAGCCCAAGAAAACTTGGGCAAAGTATTGCTGGCTGAAATTTTAGTAGACAGTAGCTGAGAAGTTTGACAGTATAGAGCAGTACAAAATTCAGCTTTCCAAGTGCAAAGTCAGATTTTTCTTCACAATTTTCTTATTTGAAAAGTGTCTACTAGGTATAGAGAGAGCACAGAGTTATCTCATCTATGTGAACACTACTAAAATGACAGTTGAATTTATTAGTTCCACGTTGGGGTAGCCTGTGTCTGCAGTATACGTGTTCTTTAGTGATTCCAAACTTTTACCCCATAGTCCAGTTTGTAGCTTGGAACAGCTTTATCTGTTACTGCTGTACAGTGCTCTCAGATGATAATATTTCCAAGTAGGGAAATCTGTAGTGAGGAGAGAGAGTTTGAATAACAAAAACAAAACACAAATACAGAAAGATCTGGTTGGAGAAGGGAGGGAGTGTCCCTGATTGCAAGTCGTGGATGATGTTTAGATTAGCAGTGCTCCTTCCTAGACTTGCCTTTCTTCCCTTTTTAGGTCATTTTCTTTCTTGTAAAGATACAGAGAAAGTGTTATTGCAATTCCCAAATGTTTCTGCTAATTATAGAAAAGAGAAAGGCAGCATGTGGTACACAGTCTTGCTTGTAAAAAGGCAAACATTTATATTATGTGATAAGCTGATTTAGATGTATTAGTGATTTGGGTAAAATATTCATTCCTGTAAAATTTAGACAGCCTGTATTTCTTCAAAGAGATTGAGCTAAATATAAAAGAAACCCTATTCTAGTGCAAATAATTTAAGACCATGTTTTAAGTGAAAATTCATTATGTTGATTAATCTAAACTAATCAATCTATGGACCCAGACCTTCTAATGGAATTCTAACTGTCCCTCTCATATTAATTCGGATAGAACTATGAACTAACACTCTCACCAATACTTCTAATTTGGCAATACAGCAGCTAAGAAATACTTTTTTAGACTGAAGACTGAAAGAAGACTAAGAATTAAAGAACTTGTTAACTTGTTAGATAAGCACTGCTAGCCCTAATTTTTAGCGTTGAGCTGTGTCAGAGCAGTGATAACTGCAAGAACCATTTTAGCTGCTTATTGCTAGAAGCAACCTTTTACACAGACTAAGCTACAGAAGTTCTGTCAGGACTGGCCATTTCAG